ATTTACTTATTATTTTAAAAATAATTATAATGTATTGAATTTCATTTAATTAGTAATGTTTACAAATTATTTTTGAATTGCATTATTATTTGCATTGCTGTCATGAATGATGATGAAAAAATATGGCAAGCTTCCACTGCTGGTCCAAATCGCCTATCCATGGCATACCGATGAGGTTACCAAACCAGACCAGGCCTTTTCTATGCCTCGCCAAACAGGCAGATTTTGTGAAGAAAACACAGATGTGACTCTAAACTCTGATATCATCACTGTACTGTAGATGTTGAACTGCCTAAATATTTTGCAAGCTACTGTGAATCATTCATTATTGTGCAACAGATAATTATGAAATCTAGCATTTTGCAGATTAGTGGTAAACTAAAGCAGCTTCGGTTTAGTTTAAACTAATTCTTTTTATTATTATTTATTACTTTTAGCTGCTAATGATTAAATTTTTTATTTACTTATTATTTTAAAAAATAATTATAATGTATTGAATTTAATTTAATTAGTAATGTTTACAAATTATTTTTGAATTGCATTATTATTTTTTTAGTAATTATTGTTTAATGTTTTTTTTTAATTGTATGATTCATTTTTATTTTATTGTAATTAATTGCAATAATTATTATTATTAGTTGTTTATTATTAATTGTAAGAATTTTATCTAATTATTTTAACTGCTAATAATGTTTTTCATTTAATTACTATTTATTTGTACTAATTATTTTTCATGATTATTTTTTAACTGCTAATGGTTTTTAATTGCATTATTATTCTTTTATACTTATTTTTAATTGTTACTTTTAACTGCTAATGATTCTTTTTAATTTAATTATTATTGTTTGCTCTTTTTTATTATTATTATTTTTAACTGCTAATGATTCTTTTTAAATTATTTTTCTAAATTATTATTATTTTTTTAATTATCATTAAAACTAATTGATTTTTCTCCTTTATAAACTGAAAAATGGTGTAAGATTTACTCTGAATCAATTGTCACGCAGAAATTGCTAGTACACTTCACTTATTACAAAGAAATGGCAAATAATATGAACAACCTTGTAATGTGTTTTTTGAACATTAAAGCATGTCAACATATTCTGTTACACCAAATACACAAAATAATGATCTTTAAAAAAGCATCATATGACCCCTTTAAGTAGAAAGCTTGAAATAGAATTTTCTTTTGTAAAACATACTCTGATAATCTTTGTTTGTTTGCTTGTTTTTTTTTTTTGTTACAACTTTGAAAAATAAAATTTTTACAGTATATTTGAAGGTCTTATTCTTATTCCAGAAACCAGGGATGTTTAATTCAAGCCATGAGCAATCAAAGCTAAATATCTTATTATGTGACTAAAAACCCGAATTTTCCATCCATTTATTTTGATGTATTAAAGACAATTATTTTCTCTCTATAACAGTTTGTAGATGGTGCTGCAAACAAGCTCACTGGAAAACAGAACAGACGTTTGATGTTTATTCAAATGAGATTTGAAATAATTGCATTCTTTCTAGCAGTTCCTGAAAACAGAAGAACAACAGAAACATGTCACAATTTGAAATTCTATTTTAGAATCAAACGTTTTTGTTTTTTGACAAGTTTCCCCAAGGGCTTTTAATAACCCTATAGTTTCATTGTTGATTTGTACATTTCTTTTCTTCTGTCTGAGAAGGTTCACATTGATCCGGGCCATTGTCTAAATGTTTTTGTGAAGCCAGTCAGCTGCGCTCTGGTGCTCAAAATGTTTTGTTGCTCATCCAGTTGGCTTCAGCAGTTGTGAAATCATGAGATTTCCTGGCATTTTAAATCATTACACACAATATGATGTCATTAGAAAGTTTCTTCTGCTTTGTATTCAGGCCTTTGCTGTCCTGAAAACAGTGTGTAGTTGAGAAGTGTCTAAAGGCCGTTATTGAGTCTTTCTGCAAAACATATCGATGAGGTTACCAAACCAGACTAGGCTTTTCTGTGCCTCACCAAACTACTAGCGCAGGCAGATTTTAGTGAGGAAAACACAACTGTGTCTGTGACTCTAAACTCGGATATCATCACTGTACTGTAGATGTCGAACTGTCTAAATATTTTGCAAGCTACTGTGAGTCTCACATTATTGTGCAACAGATAATTATACTGATAAAATCTAACATTTTGACTGAAACATTATTAACTTAACCAACTTCATTTTGGTTTTTAATGATTTTTTTATCATTATTTTTAACTGCTAATAATCATTTTAAAATGATTTTAACTGCTGTTTTTAATTGAATAATTTTTTTCTACTAATTATTTAACTATTTTTAATTATTTTGTTTTTTAGAATTTACTTTAAAACTATTTTATTCAGAAATTGCTAGTACATTTCACAAATAATTACAAAGAAACTGAAATTTTGAAGTAGAAAAACTGAAATAGCCAAATGCAATTCAGTAATCTTTGTTTTTCTTTCTTTCTTTTTTTAATTTTACATTCTGAATCCAATTTAATGTTAGTCTGACAAACGAAATACTGTGGTGAACGAGTGTTTTTTTGAAAGAAGTCTTGTTTGCTTCATATTTTTGTGGAAACTGTGAATAGGAAGTTCAAAAGAACAGCATTTAAACAAAATAGAAATGTTTTGTAATATTATAGATGTCTTTACTGTCACCTTTGATGAATTTAATGCACCCCTGGTGAATAAAAGTATTCATTTAAAAAAAAAAAATGATAATAATAATAATACTGACCTTTTGAATAGTAGTGTATATTACATATTTATATTATTTTTCCAAATATATGCTATTTCTAAGATGCTTGATAAAATGAAGAATTAATTGCATAAAAGAAAGCAGTTACTGTTATAAGTATAGTAAATCCTGCCTTGATTCAGTATTGAAGTGTGCTTGTTTTGGAGAGCAGGAATAGCCCAGGTAAACACAGATGTCCTTACATTCCTCACGCGGTTCCCCTGCAGCGCTGTGACCGCCGCTCACTTCAGCATGGACATGAACGTGTGAATTTAGAGTGGGTTCAGTCGATTCCCAAAGAGCCTGAAGCTTTCAGCAGCCTGTTCACAGCTGTTGAAACATGGGATATCCCAGTGTCTAATGATAGCCAACAGCTCCCCGCAACGGAGCCACACACCAACACACACAGTCTTCACCCTCAACACAACAGAAAGCACTACAGATGACAACAGTCTGAAATTCACCGTATAGCCTACACTGTAAAAAATGACCTTGAATTTAACGGTAAAAGACTGTAAAAATGCTACAGTAAAAACCTGTTAAATGGTTAACGGTAAATTCCCCTACTATATACGGTGAAAAACTGTATTGGTCATTAATTTTACGGTAGTATACCGTTTTTGGAAGTGAAAATGTAGTATAATTTACAGTGAATAACCGTAAATTGACATTCTCAGAATTCTCTGCGTTACATTTCAAATTGGATGTTTTTTTGTTGAAATAACTCTTTTTAGTTTTTTTTTATCAGTTTTGTTTTTTAGGGTTGAAATTTGATGTTTTTTTGTTGAAATAACTATGTTTCTTTTTAGTTTTTTCTTATCAGTTTTGTATATTAGGGTTGTGTGTTACACCTAATGTTGTTGAATGTTTATTGCATTATTTCAGTTTCATGTGTGTTACCATGATGGTGTTTAGTGTTTGTGTGAATGACACTGTGCACCTTCTATATATGTTATTATTTAAAAGCTGCTTGTGATGGGCTTTGGTTCATCATGTGACTTTCTCATCACCACCTGCATTTGGTGGTTATCAGTGTATTACAAAGGTACAAAACAGATTTCAGTACTTCAGTAAGGTTAGTATATTAACATTATATCAGTTAATGCAATTACGGTATTTAACTGTAAGTTTAAGTTAAAACCGTAAAACCTAAAACGTTGCTACCGTATTTTTTACGGTAAAATTCCGGCAACCACAGCTGCCGGTTTTTTACCGTAAATTTTACGGATTTTTTTTTACAGTGTATCTGTTGTCATTTCTGTAATTGTGCACTGGATGAGCCACCATAAGAACATGCTGAAGCTGCTGTGCAGTGCTGACTCTGATGACTTGATCACTGTGTAATGTATAAGTTGACGAGGCATTGCATGAGATTTCATGTGTGTGCTATTAACGCTGTCTAACTGAGCTAAACACACGGGAAAGCAAAGATAGCTTCACACAACTGCTTCATCATGACTTCATGCAGATACTGTACATATATGCATAACTTCAATCAAATGATGTTTCTGATAATATTTTGTAATTAAAAAAATGCTAAATCAATTTGGATGTATTTATTAGCATTTTGATAAAGTGTATTCACACACACTTCATCTAAATAAATTTATTTATTTTTAGTTTATATATAATTCGTCTATATATAATTCTATAATCATTTTTTATATTTGGTTATTATTATTATCATTATCATCATTTGCATATTATTGCATGCTATGTTTTAATATAATTGTAATAGTTGCATTATTACAATAAATATTAGCACCATTAGTATTTGTTGTATTACTTGTTAAATTCTTTTCTTTTGTAGTATTTATATATTATTTAAATATTTAATGTTATATTATTACATATTATATGTGTGAATTTATTACCATGTATTTTTTTGAATATTTTTATTATAAAATTAACTATTAGCACCCATTATTATTGTATTGTAATATTTATTTAATTATATTCTTATATCTAAGGTAATAATATGTGACCTTACATGTCTTAAGGACATGTATATTTGTAGCATTAGCCAAAAAAAAAACATTTTTAGTTTTGGATCTGTTTTTAGTTGTTTTAATACTACAATTGATTGCTTCTGTTGTCCTCATTTGTAAGTCGCTTTGGATAAAAGCGTCTGCTAAATGACTAAATAAAAATAATTATTTGTACATTTTTGGTTATTATGCGTTTGCAATAGTTTTGTCATCTTTTCATAGTTGTGTACGCTTTTCCTAATCAGTGAGCGAGCGCTGCGCGTGCTCGACTCACCTCGGGCTCGCGCAGCTCGTGCACTTGACTTAAAAACTTCTCCGCGTGCGATTGCAGAGCGCGCACGAGACACGACACATAAATCACGGGCTCCTGCTCCGGTTCCCGAGTCAGAACCACCGCGAAACATGGACGACTTAGGTGAGTATGAGCCGCTTTGACGTTTGACATCGGATCATCGCGAAAGGAGAAGTTTGACGCGACGCTAGAGCGCTGGATTGACGCTGTAGAAGCGGATGGAGCGCGGAGCCGCTGCCAACGTCAGCGCGACTGCAGCAACACGCTCGCTCGCGCCGCTGGACGCCTGTTTAAAGCTGCTCTTTATGCGTTATATTCATGTATTCCAGCTGGTTGTGTGTTGTGTGTTGATGCTGCAGTGTTGCAGGACTCCGGTTGATTCATTCTTTACAGCCGCTTCCCTCGCAACACTGTGTGATTAATATCAGACCCTTACTAGCGCAAAACCGCGTTGAGCTTTACTTTTGTCCTTAAATGCAGAAGTGTAGAGCATTCTTTTGTTGCTAATTATTGTGCATAGTTCCCGTCTGGTTGATTTTTAGTGCAGCTTCTGCAATGTGTCAACAAAACAACAATCTGTCATTTTGCACCCGACCTCAAAACTTCACAAATACGCACCTAAAACTTTCTGTTGGTTTTGATGGTGTGCATGTGATTGCATTGCCTTTACTGGAGGAATCGGCACACATGGTTTGCCAGGACACTTTTATTTCAAAACCAGTAGTTATTAATGTTGGCAATTAACTAGTAGTGGTGGCGTACTGTAAGACCGTTGATTCCATAATCTTCAGCTTGATGTTGTAACTTGTTGACTTGTTGCCCAAGGCAATGAGAAAACGAGCCTAATCTAACTCCTCTCAGTATTACTGCCTTGAGGCTGTTGAGTGGAGTTTTCATGAGTGACACGTTGTTTAGTGAAGTTATTTTCGTTCATCTCAAGCATTTGTTTAGACATGAATGTGGGAGCAGGGTCAGAAATTAACCAGGACTGGCGGCTGAAATGCCAAAATTAAACTAACAAAATGACCTTAGATATGGTGCATTCCTCTTTTTATTTGATATGGAATGGATAGTGCTGGGCGGTATGACCAAAAATTTATATCACGGTATTTTTCAAAATTATACCGGTTTCACGGTACATGACGGTATTTTTTTTTTCATGCATGACCGGGTGTTAACCATATTTTCTACTGATTGAGAGAGGAAATACTGCAGTATATTGACTTAGAATGCCCTATTTTACTGTCATGATGAGTGAATATTGTCAAAAAATACCACACTAAACCGTGACTAAACACGACCCACCCCTACTCATTTATTGACGAGTCGGCTGCGGTGCGGCCAACTGAATGCGGTGCTTCTCTGCCTCTCACTGCACAGAACAGACGCCGAGAGATTGACGCTTCTCCGGGAAAGTCAGACCTCGCGTTCGTGGGACATGCTCGTGTGTGTGAGACGCGGGGGCTGATGGCAGGGGGCGGTGGATATTTGTGGCGGTCAATGTGGATATTGTGGATGAGTTCTTCTGTGTCATCACGTTCTATTAGTTCTACAGCTTCAGTTTCGGAACTTTCACGCTTAGTAACACATACAGCTGTTCCCTCACCACAGTGCAACAGTTAAAAGAGACCCCTTTCAAACAGTGTCGCGTTCCGAACATTATTTAAACGACACCGGTATTGCGGTATTTTAAAAATTAATATCATAACAAAAATAAACACCGGTATTCGGTATGAAACGGTATACCGCCCAGCACTATGTGTGGACTCTTTTTGACTAATTTAATTACATTTTTATCTAGGCTTGTCAAGTGTTGCCTTTAGTTCACTTTGTTAGAAATTAGTTTGAAAGGACTAAGTTTGACATTCATGGACAGCAATGAAAAAATGCACTCATAAATGTAAAAGTTGCCATTGAAAATGAATATTGTCCCTTAAGTTAATTTCTGATGCTACGTGGGGAGTAAACCAGTAAACGTGTATTTAGTGTTGTACTTCAACTTTACACATCAGATTAGACTGTTGTATGTTAGATACCAGTCTTGCAAAAAGCATGTATATTGAGATTTTTATCATAGCTAGAGGGAATGCTAGCAAGATGTCTTTATTGACGAAAGCTACGTGCATTGGTTTTTCTAGGTTTGAATGGATTCAATCCAACTACAGGTTCTGAATGAAATGTGTAATTCCCTTAACATTGTCAGAGACCATATTTTTTTGCAATGGTTTTGTTATTTGAAGGAATAAGGACATAAATTATTTAAGTATTTAAGGGAATAAAGCCAAAGAAAGAAAAACTCTAAAAGAACTAGAATTATGCAAATATGCAAAATAGTTTTATTTTAAAATATGCACACATTCTCTCTTAATCGCATGCCTAATTTGTCAAAAAGTACTTCATTAGCCTTATATTTCTTGTCTCATTGCATTCTGTTATGAATTACATGAATCATGTAAATTATAGCCTATATTTTCAATTCAAAATCTGACAGAACATCAAGAAGTTTGCATCACTGGATATTACTGTCAGTCGTTTAACATATTGTAAAACAGTTGTCAATTTTCAAATGTTTAGTTACATCTTACTTCGCTCTCTTTCATGGTTAAAACTGGAATTAATTGTTAGCTTATGTCAATGGTAAAGCATGAAGAATGTCAAATATTGAACATTTGGCCATTTCTAATTATTGACGGGTGGAAATGTCTATTCTGGTTATGGCCCTATGCAAGTATGCAACCTCAAATGCTTCACAAGCTCGATTTTGTGCCATTGTTGCATTCTGAAATGCATCAGACCATAATTCATAACTCAACAGAAGTAGCCTATGCATTGCGTTCTCAACATGGCTCAACATTTAGGCTGATGAAAACTGTCCGATGCATTGATTTAACAAATGCTATTTAACAGATTTTAAGATCTGCACCACTGTCTTTATTAATCAAACAGAAATTTCCATCCGGCTTCGCTTAACTGGATATTTTTTCCCAGATTGAGGTTTTTACACAACAACTTTTTATTGCATGTAGATGTACTGTAGCTATTGTCTCATGCCCAGTGTGTTTCACTAGAGCAGGTTTGGGTGTCGTATTGCAACTAAAGAGTCTTGCATGAGCTAATCGTCATGTGATTTTAGACAGAATTTATTTTTTTCATGAAATGAGTCAAGATGCTGGGCAAAGCTTCAGTCTTTCAAACACACAAACCTATATTTAACAGTGATATGTGTCGTCCTGACTGCGCTTTAGTGTCCGTCTCGTCTGTTCTCTTACTGATCACAGGAGCTGTCTAAACTCTAATACAGATTGGCATAAGTGACTTTTCATTGCAAGACTTTGCTGAAATTTGATTATACTATTGGGTCATTCTCTGCCAAATCATCCAAATTTCAGAAACTTCCCTGGCAAAAATCTTGGGGTTTGTTAATGTGTACAATTTAATGATTTACTCATGAAGCCACATTAAGAGTCCAGTATGTCTGGAACTGAACCACATGGGGCCTAAAAATGAAGATACAGTAGCAAAAGGAAAGCTTGTTAAGAGCCAGCATCCAAAAGGATATTGAGACTTAAATTAGTTTTCCCCATCCAATTAGGTTCCAAATCTATGGTGAAAATGATCATTTTGACCCACAAAATAGTGGATTATTCTGTAAATATACATCCATGACATTTAATATTTTGGCTTTCATCACTATTTATATTTGTCTTTCTAATAATTTACTAATGGAGCCACATTGAAATCCCAGTATCTCTGGAATCAAACCAAACGGGGTCTTAAAAATGAAGATATCAAAAGTTAGGTATGGTAAGAACCAACATCCAAAAGGATATTACGATATCTTTTATACTTTTTTGAGTTACAAGCATTCAGTGCTTTTTTCCATTTTTGAACCGCCACCATTGGCATATAATGCAACAAGGATTGCTAAAGTCAATGTATTTTAGTAATAGACTTGACAATCTCTATGTAAAAATAAAATAATGATACTGCCATCTTTCTAAAGTCATTTTCCCCTTCCTGCAATTTGGTTCCAAATCTCGGGTGAAAATTGTCATTTTGACCCACAAAATAGGGAATTACTCCGTAAATATCATCCATGACATTTAATATTTTGGCTTTCTTCTTCATGTATGTAGATTTGCATCACAATCTGATTCCAAAACCATTTCAAGTGGATCTCTGCACAAATATTCAGCAGCGATGGAGATGTGCGGATCTTTCTTGTTGAGTTCAGTTGCTTTTGTTCTGTGCAAACTGTGCACAATAAGACCAAGAGTGTGCATGAAGAAAGTAAATGGTCTCCTGTTGACTTCAGTGCACTTTCACCTCATCTCTTCAGGCCTGCATCGACTGTGTCCTAAATGGTACACAAACAGTGGTGTCTTTCTCTTCGGCAGTGTAGCGTAGATCGAGGCAGGCATTGAGGTCGCAGGTGTGAGTAGCCAGGCCTCTCCTGTAACCATAAGCCTGCATTGTGGGCTGTGGAGGACCGCTTGAACCTAAAAAAACCTGTACGCCAGCGTCCTTTGCAGTGTATTGTGCCCTGAGACAGTTAATGTGACGTGCTTAAACAAACAAATCTGTCTGTGTGTGTCTCTTATTGCATTTTTTAAAAGTTTCATGTATACACGACAGTTTTCAAAGTGATTCGCGTTTACATAAATCTACGAAAACGGCCAAAGACGCTGTATTACGTATGCCAGGCCAGTAGTTGGCGCTGTCACCTTGTTAGTAAACAGTACCTGTTGCC